TTCCTGTTGGAGCAGTGGCTATGTGATCTGAAATTGGGGAAGCTTTTGGTGTCCCCCTTGTCATGGTCAGATCACACCCTGATTACCATGGGATTCTTTAGAATACAATACGATACGATACGATACGATACGATACGATACGATACGATACGATACGAATGAATTTGACTTCAGTGCAAAGAGCTCTCAGTGTATTTGCATAGCATCAGGAAATAAAGAATAATAAAATAATAACAACATTATACTAAAACTATGCAGTCAGAAGAGGAGAATTGGAGGAAGAATAATACTGCGGCTATTGACTAACATAATCAGGAAATAAAGAATAATAAAATAATAACAACATTATACTAAAACTATGCAGTCAGAAGAGGAGAATTGGAGGAAGAATAATACTGCGGCTATTGACTAACATATATTCATTTTTAAAAGGAGAAGCTACTATCCGCTGCAGAGAGGCTGGACCCATTAGCTTGGTCTGCCTCCAATCACTAATGGATCCAGATGGGTTTCAGAGGGAGCTGGGAGTTGTTCCTGCTGGTCTGCTGCACATCCCATTTGAAGCCTCAGTTGCCGCTTGGAATAAGGAGGCAGCTGGGGCTTTGAATCGATCATGCCCATGTGACCTCTCCCCTCTCAAGGATCCTGGCATTCCCGGTGGTTTACAGAGGAGCTGAGGGAGATGAAGCAAGAGACGTCTAGAGCGTCACTGGCATTCAACGAGGGATGAACTTGACCAAACAAGGGTTAGAGCCATTATTATGGCCTATCTAGTGGCCTTAATAAGGGCGGTGATGTGGCAGTATTTCTCCACCGTTATTGCGTCTGCAGATATAGCCATCCCGCAGCCCTGTTTAGGGTGACATGAGCTCTCCTGGATAAAGGGGGCTCAGAGAAGTGCATGTGGAGGAATTTGCTGAGCGTCTGTCAGACAAAGTTGCTTGGATTCGTTCTCACTTGGACGCTGGCTTTGTTATAGGTCTGGTGGAGATGCCTAGGGAGGAGACTTGCCCTGTTATCTGGGAACTGTTGGACCTGAGGAGTGGACAGGGTCCTTAGGGCTGTGAGCTCAGCCACCTGCTCTTTAGATCCATGCCCCTCCTGGCTGGTTAAAGCAGCCTGGGGGGTGTCACCTGAGTGGGTCCTAGCAATGGGTAATGCTTCCTTGAGTGAGAAGGTTGTTCCTTCGCCTCTTAAGGAGGCTTTAGTTTGGCCCCTCCTCAAGAAGCCATTGCTTGGACCCCACTATACTGGACAACTTTCGTTCAGTATCTAACCTTGCATTTTTGGGGAAGATGATTGAGAACATGGTGGCGCAGCAGCTTCAGAGGATCTTGGAAGAAATTATCTGGATCCCTTTCAGTCGGGATTCAGACCCAGGTATGGGATGGAAACAGCATTGGTCGTGCTTTTGGATGATCTCTGGTGAGGGCAGGATGGGGGTTATGCATCCATCTTTGCCCTACTTGACCTCTCGACAGCTTTCAATACCATCAACCATGGTATCCTTCTGGATCAGCTCAGAGGATTGGGGGTGGGCAATATGGTGCTTTGCTGGTTTGCCTCCTTTTCTGGGGCCGTTTCCAGTCAGTGGTGGTTGGGGAGGAGAGATCTCACCCTCAGCCCCTACTATGTGGGGTGCTACAAGGTTCGGTGCACTCCCCTCTCCTATTTAACATCTACATGAGACTGCTGGGTGAGCTCATCTGTCTCCCTGGTGAATTAAGCAATGCTGTGAACGTCTTATCCTGGTGCCCAGAGGCTGTTGAGGGTCTGGATGGGGAACAAGAGGCTTTAGCTGAACCCTGGCAAGACTGAGTGGCTTTGGGTTTTGGGGCCTTCTGGTTCTAGGACTATGCCATCTTTGGTGTTGGATGGGGTGCACTGCCCTTGAAGAGTATCCAGAAGCTTCAGCTGGTGCAAAATGCAGCAGTGCAGGCAGTTACGTGTGCCCCTAGAATGGCACACATTGCACCTCTGCTCCGTGAGCTGCACTGGTTGCCAGTTTGCTTCTGGGTCCAATTCAAGATGCTGGTTTTGACTTTTAAAGCCCTTCATGGCATGGGCCCGGGTTACCTGAGGGACCACCTGTCCCCGATTACATCTGCCCGTCCCATCAGATCTGGCAGAGAAGGGATGCCGTGGGTCCCATCTGCTAGAGAATTACATTTGGCGGGTCCCAGGAGGCGGGCCTTCTCTGCTGTGGCGCCTGCCTTGTGGAATCTCCGGCCTGGAAGTGAGATCAGCTCCATCCCTCTTAACATTCCGCAAGTCCCTCAAGACCTGGTTATGCCTTCAGGCCTGGGGGTCCCAGGGAACCGGGGAGATCTTGCAATGGCTCTCTTACTGCAGCTAACATTATCCTCTCCTGTTTTTGTATTTTATAGTTTTTAATAATGAATGTTTTTATACAGTATATTTAGTGTTTTTTAATTAAGTGTTGTACACTGCCCAGAGTCACTTTTCTGTGAGATGAACGGCTATACAAATTTGATAAATAAATAGAAATAAAAACATTCACTTCCTGATAGCTTCTAAGTCCATTTCAGCTTCCCTTCCCACACAACAGGACAGCAGTCAGTATTTACCTTCTTCATTCTGTCACAGACTAAGATGTGTACAGAAAGTATTAATTGCTATCATCTAGGTGTTGTGGGTATGTAGGAAAGCTGGAATTCATAGCTTGGTGACAGTTGCATGTTACGCTCCAGTGGAGGTGAAGGATGAAAGAATCAGAATTTGGGGGAAACTCTGCAACACCTTGAAGGATTGTGATGGAGTGGAAGAACTTAATGGGTTATGTATGGCTGAAATCAAGAGTAGGGTGGGCACACACGCTTCTTAATTAACGGTCGTGTTCCCCATTAGAAATCCGCATGCAGGAGCTGTTGTCTATGGGCGTCGGGAACAAGCCTTTCTTGGACATCAAGCCTAGCAAGGCTGCAATCCATGACCGTGCCATTGATTACATTATGAAAGGCAGAGGTGAGTTCCTCCCTGTCTTGTCTCCTCTCCGTGTCCTCCAGCTCTTCTCGGGGAGTCCGAGTCAGCATTAGACTATATGATGAATTGCATTGCTTTGTGGCAGGAGCCAGGACTCGGGCTTCCGTTGCCGTGTCCCTGTTCGACCATGGCAATCTTTACAAGAGATCTCCAGCTCCTCTGTCTGCTGGCACCCCATCTTCCTGCTCAGTGATTGGGCCTCTCAACCTACACATGTACCTGGATCAGACCTTGCTGCCAACTGTGCTGCCCACCAACCTTCCTTTAAGGGCTGGAGTCTACATTGAGGAAGATGAGATGGAAAACGAGACAAGCAGTCAGCCCTCCATGAGTATGTATGATCCATCTTTTTCCAGCACCACCTCAGAAAACGTTGACCACCAGGAGATTTCCTGGAACATCTCTAAGTTAGAGTTCAGTCCTGCAATCCCATCAGCATCCAGGATTCTGGCAGGTCCTTTGTCCAGATAGAGCAGAAAGGAATTCCTAGACGTGGTTGTGGTCAACCAAGGGCAGGGTCACTCAAGGCACTAGAGCACAAACCAGTTCAGTTCCCAACCTCTACCTTGGAAGCCACAATCTCCCTGAGCACCTTCTGAGCAGCTGCTTCCCGAAAAACAGGAAAGAGATCCTGGGTGACTCCGTAGCTGGATGCACATCTTGTGCTAAAACCTAAACCTGGGTTGATAAATGTTCCTGTGACATTCTGCACCCAGATTCTAGTTTCATGTGATGGCCTGGTTCTGGCAACATGCTGAACTACCTGACCTCATTTAGCCTAATCAGTATGCAGTAAACCTAAGCAGTGCTTCTGATGAGACGGAGACTTTGGCCTGAGCCAAAGCACTTCAAGCACTGAACTTCCAGGTAAGCTGCTTCCTCCAAGGAAGGCCACTTTGGCCCTTCAGGTATATCCTGAAAGGTAGCATCATGCAGCCAGAGCAGAATCCAAGTAAAATTGCAAAGCACAGGGCTGGGACACGAAGGTTACCGGAGCCCTCTGGCAGTGCTTAGAAGGCACAAAAAGAGCTGATACCAGAGCTGAGTTGGTTTCCTGATACTCAGGCATTTTTTTGACTTGTAGCAAGACAACCATTTGGCTCTTTGTGACACACGAATTACCTTTCCAGCAAATGTGGAGTGCCTGCAAGGTGCCAGCAGTGTGACTGTTCAGGACAGCCTTCGTCTGCAGCTCTCAGTTCCCAGTATGAGCGCTAATTCTGTTCTCCACCTCCCCACCCTAACACACTGGAGGGGCACTGACCCTAGCTTAACTAAGCACTTAGATGAACACGCCTTACTAAAGGAAAACCAGCACTGCTTTCACAAGGGTAGAGTTGTGTCAGGAGGTACATAGATGGAAGTGACTCTGTTGGTATTGTATAAAAGCCTTTGACAAAACTCACTGATCAAAGGCTGTGTGAATTTAGCAATCATGGGATAAGAAGACCTTTCTTTTATACTTTGCTAATTGTTTAAAAAAAAAACAGAAAGCAAAATGCAGGAATTTTGTCAGTGAAGGAAAGTGGAAAGTGGATTCCTCCAATGAGCAGGGGATAGCTTGTGCTTTCTGGCTTGTGGATAAATTATCTTGAGGGAAAGCAGTGCATTGGCCAAGTTTGAGATGACAGTAACTTATTTCGAGTGGTAAAAACCAAGGATGATTGTGAGGAGCTGCAGAGGTCAACCAAATGGTCAATGCCATTCAGTTTAAATAAAAATGGATAAAGTGCAGAAGAGGAAAATCAAAAACTTCAGGGGACTGGGCCCCTCCATGCAAGAAAAGGATAGAATTTTGGGAATCATTTGCTTAGAGAAAAAGGTGGCTGAGGAGGGGCATGTATAAAATCATGAATGGCATAGAAGAAATAGGTTGGGAGAAGTTATTCCACCCTTCTTCCAGCACTTAGGACCAGGGTTGTGTGTGTTGTCAATATACCTTGCTTTTCTTCTTTCCCTTTAGCAACTGAGAGCTCCGAGTCCTCTCAGGGCATGCCTGAGAGTGGCTCCAGTAGCTCTGATGGCTGCGTTTCCAACTTTTGTGAAAATTGGAGATCCCCGCTCACCACTGCAGCAGACTTTTCGTTAACCTCCTCGGATGGGGAGAAAGTCTGTTTCCCCAAGAACCAGTATATTTCAGCGGTAAGCAAATGGGACTCCGTGGGCCAGTGGGCCTGCAGGAGCCATGCCAGCTCAACTCCTAGCTGTTGGGCAGGTTAGGGGGAAAATTGCCCTCATGCATACAATTTGCAGGCTTCTGGTGTGCTGCAGTGTGCTTCCATCTGCTACAGAACTGGTGGTCTGCTGGGCGATGCAAGCAACAGATTGGGGGCAGGGTACCGTTCTGTTCCAGCCCAGCAGGTCTGTATGGACATCTCCCAGATATCCTGATGGAGGATGATCCTGTGTTGCAGGTTTGAACGCAGACTCTGATGTTCCCAAAAAGCCAGAAAAGAAGGAACCTCCCTGATGGCTGGGCAGGCCTGTCATCATTCTGACCCTTGGATGCGATGATGGCACCTTATCCTTTTGATGAGCTCTACTGAAGGGAAGAGGGTCAAGCCCACCTCTTCTGATCGTCTCGGCTAGTACAGGGGAGCAGCAGCAGCAGAGAAAGTGGGGTTAATGGGGTTGCCAGAGCAGGAACCAAGGGGTCACTGGACTGGGGGGGAGGTCGGTAGTGTGGAGAAGAGCTCTGTGCCTGTGCAAGCAAGAGAAGGGTCCAAGGGCTCGCTGCCTTGCTTTGTTTCCACAGCTGACCAATTTAGTTTCATACACTGTTTGTTTTTAGTAATTGTAGACATGCAGAAGGAAACAAAAGAAAACCTAGACATAGACAACCATTTTTGTATGTTGAACCTCGTAATCTAGCTTTCTTGCTTGTTTTGTTCTTACTAATTATTTCAGTAGGTGATTCCACAGAACGCTAAGTACCAAGTCTTCCTGGTCACTTATCTTGCTGTCAGGGAAAAAAGCAGCTTGTATTTCTGATTGGCAGAACAAGGTGTCTGTCATTCTCATGAGGAAAGGTTCATTTCCTGCCTGGAGCAACCTCTCAGCTCTTGCATCTATTTCTTTGAGTCTGGAGCTTTGGGGGGTTTCTGTGATCCTCTAGTTGATGCGAGTCAGTAAAGGCACCTCTGATTCTTGGACCTTTCTGCTAGTCTGGCTGATTTTGAGAGTTCAGTTAATGTGAACATTTTTAGACAGAGTTGTTTTGTTTGGTGAGCAGACAGAACTCTAGGAGGCAGCTACAGATCTCTGCTGTAGCCCATCTCTAGCTTTACATTTCCCGTGCACTTCCTTTCTTTCTTGTTAACCACATTTTTGTTCCATTCAACATGCTGTGAATACAGCTTTTATTTTAATAAGTTTATTTAAGAATTGACATTTTCACTTTCTATAGACTGGGTATTACAGCTATTTGGTGCAATATAGTATGGAGAACCTCTATACAGGATTAATTTAGGAACATCTGAGTATTTTCTTCTTAATCTATTGCTGGCTTTTATAGGGAGTTGGTTACTAAGAAACTGAAGAAAGCTGAGACTAAATTTTGCAGGAACACAGCATCTCACAAATATTTCTGGAACTCCTCAGTTTTGGTTATTTTTTAATTATTGTTACTGCTGGAAATAAAGTCCTAATATATGCTTGGAACCAATGTTATTTTTAAGTCTTAATAAAAGTTGTTTCTTCCAATTATTGTTTGGCTGCATGCTTATTGCTAAGATCATTATAGTCATCATTTTATTAATCTTGACAAATGACATCCAGAGTTGAAGCTTGCGAGCAAAAGCAAATTAAAAAAATGTATTATTAAAAAAATGACCTTTGATATGTTAGAAAGTCAAAGCAGGTGTCAGTCTGTTAGAAGTGATAAAAGGTAAGGGGTGATGATGAAAAAATGTACCACTTTACTCTGCCCTGGTCACAGCCCATTTACAATATTAATACAGTAGAGTCTCGTTTAACCGACCTTCACTTATCCAACATTCCGTCTTATCCGACACCCCTAAAAAAAACACAACACACATAAATCGGCGACGAGAAAAGTGTGCCGCTTATTTGCGAGCGTGAGTGTACTCTTTCTTGTTGCTCCTGACGGTGCGGCGCGGCAACGCAAAAATCGATTGCAACAGGTGCAGCAGATCGGAGGGGGGTTGTTTTTTTTACTGCACTCAATCGTTACTGTGTGTTATCCGACATTTTCGCTTATCCGACGTTCTGCCGGCCCGTTTATGTCAGATAAGCGAGATTCTACTGTATGTAGTTCTGGGGCCCACCTTTCAAAAAGGAGAGTAACAAATTGGAGAAAATTCAGAGAAGAGCTATCAAGCATATGGAAATCAAGCTCTATAAGGAACAGCAAATTATCTTGGCACAATTAGAGACGATAGAAGTTGTCACATAGAAAAGGGAATGGACCTACTCTCTTTGCCCCAGAGAACAGGATCAGAACCAATTGATTAAAATTACCTGAAAGGAGGCTGATGCTGTCACTTGGTGAGTTTAGATGCCACCCAGATGGAGGCTGGGTGGCCATCTGTCAGAGATGGTAGGGTTTGGGACAAGATGAGCTCTGTGGACAGTTCCAACTCTTGACTTTATGACTGGAAAGAGACTGCAGGAACAATCAAATCCAGCACTCATAGCTCCCAGGTTCTAGAGCTCACCCTGGCACAAGATGGAACTGCCCGCCAAATTGTCAGGAAAATTCCCAACTGCCCCCTTGAAGCCTTCTGGATCCATTAGTGACCATCTTAGTGGGTCGACTGCCCTTGTGGAAATCCAGGGAAACAGTGATGCATAGTTTAACTAGGAAGTGATCTGACCACAGCAAAGATGTCAACTTGCTCAATTTTCAGATCGTGTCTCACATGCTGCAAAAGAAATCCATATCAAACACCTCCCCTCCCATGTGTTGGGGCCATGATTATTTGCAACAAGCCCATGGTCACAATGGAGGCCGTGAACTCGCATCAGACTCCTGTCCAGAGCATGGAGACTGAAGTAAGACTAAAAGTGTAACGAGGATATCCAGGAGCTTATGGAGGACAACTGCAGGGCAACAAGACAGTGCACCAGCAGCAGCTCACGCTTGTCTCTATGGACCACTTCCATGCATACCACTTGCATTCTGCCACTTTTGGGGCAGTGGTTCCTGTCACCACAGAAATGTCATGTACAATCATGGCCACCCCTCCCTCCAGGCTTTGGCTTGCTGCTGCTGAAGGACCTGAATGGCAGGTAAGTTGGTTTCTTACAGGGATACATCCCTGCCACTATTCAACCAGGTCTTGATAACCCATGCCAGGCCTCTACACTCTACACTACCCCATGAACCACAGACCTGACATTTATGAGCAGCAGTAGGAGTCCAAGGCACCCAACAATGTAGCCACCTGGCTCAGAACTTGAGCCCCTGGCTTAGAAGAAGAGGCAAACTTTTTGTAGGAACCAGCATCCCAGGAAGCATTAGCTGATTGATCCCCCTCATCCCCATTCTCTCACCGTGGGGTGAAAGGAGACACCTTTGGCACTGTCTGGCTCTCACCCAGAAAGTGTACTTTAACACCCCATCTCCAATCTGACACTGGCACCACTGAATCAATTGATCTGATCCAGCTTCAAAAGGGATCCTGAAATCTCTAGTAGCTAGAAACAGCCAGAGCAATGATCCTCCAGTCTCCTGTTACTCATTGTTAGTGCTCTCAGTCATGTATTTTACGTATGCATGCATTTTAATTATATAAGTTTAATTTCAAAATGAAAAAAAAACTAACAACTGCAGAGCCCAAGACTTGAGTTTTATTAAGGGTTCTGTAAATATTTCCGAATAACAAAATGTGAGAGTGATTTAAAGTATCCTTTTTTAATAAGCAAGTCAATGCAGCAGCTGTATTTCCAGGCAAAAGGCAGGGTGAACTGAAAGGGAAACAGAGACGCTCACTAGCAACTGGCTGGGTAGCAACTTCTGCTGGGCCAAAGGCCACATCTCAGCCTCCCACCTTGGCAACAGATGGCCTTCTGGAGACACAAAACTGTTGGCCCCTGTTTCATACTGTTTTCAGGTTGAGGGGTTCAAGAATCACAGTGGGAGTGGTTTGCTTCCCAGAAGCTCCCATGCTCATCTGAGCGAAAGGTTTACCACCAAAACTCAGCAATTTTACTGCCAAATCTTGGTGAACTTTGGGCTGCAAATGGGCTGGGGGGTGCTTTAGGGCTGTCTTGCGTGAACCACTGTCTAGAGCCAAATGTCCTAGACTGGGCATGACTAAACTGAGAATCTGGATATCAGATCCATCACACATGCCTGGGAGTAGCTCCCGTCACAAGTGACCAGATTGCTTTCACTTTGCTGTTCTTGTGTTTTTCGTGAGAAGACGAAGGAGAGGGGATGACAGGAAAGGAGGGAAGTGAGTCTCACAATGAAAAGAGACCTGCATTGCAAGTGAGAGTAAAATGTGTATTTAGCTGCCCCTGCAAGCAGAAGGCCACAAAAGAGGTAAACCCTTCCCCTCATGGATGGAAGCACATCTATCATTCAGACTTACTTCAACCCACTTCAGTAACTTCTCGTAAGAATGGCTATCTGCTTTAAAAGGTGCTGAATTCAGTAAGTCAGCCACAAACTCCTTTGCTGTGATCTGCAGGCACTGTAAGAAATGAGGGGATTCAAACTCCAGAACCAGAACCTGGCCCATCACTGCCTTGCCATGCTGAACTGGGTTGAGAGAGTACTTTTGAAAGGGGTGGTTCAAATGCCAGAAATCCACTATGAAGGTCTTGGCCTTTGGGCCAAGAAGAAGAGGACTAAAGCTTGCTACCCAATCTAGCAAAAGCGTACCTCAGCTCAAGAGCAGTAGATGCCTTCTTACCCATAGCCTCTGGACCAGAAGCTCTACTTTGGCAGTTGTTTCTTTAGGATCCTTCTGTCTTATGGAATCCAAGATGACATCAGTGAGGAAACAGTGGCACTTCTGGGCATAAAAAATTTCTTCTTGTGTCAATGGAAAGCTCAGAAAAACAATATCTACGAGAGGAAAGAAATAATGACCCTTGTCACCTGACATTCTATCCAGCTCCAAGCTCTGTCTTCTTCATCCCTTTCAGGTATTTTGAGCTGGGAACAAAGCATAAGACATCCTTCTTACTTTCCCTGGAGCAGAGGCAGGGTGCTTCCTTATACTTTGCTCAGACAGAAAAATCACTCTAAGGAGATGGGTAATCCAGGGACAGGCGAGCTGCTATTCTAGCCAACATGTCAAATGCAAGGGTTAGGGGCACATGTATCAAAATTACCAGTTTTGTATTGTATTACCAGTTTACCTTTCCCTGAGAGAAAGTATTGCTGCTGATAAACTAGGGGGGAAAGGCTGAGGTGGGACAACAACCCAGGAGATCATTAGGACAAGACTGAATGTCTGGAATCATTCTTGGAATGATTCCAGGGAAATGTGTCCTACCATCCTCTTCATCATTTTACCTTTCTCAAAATATACTCAACAGCATAATAATCAGCAAATCCAATGCATAGTTGCATGAGTTATTTTAGAGTCAGTGTCTTGATGCGGAGGGTAGGAAATGAGATTTCAGGATTGCTTTTTAGATGTTAAGTGTGTACAGCCTGCCCTAGGAAGTTTATTTCCTTCCATTCCAAAATGCACACATACAGAGTTGCAATAAAGGGCATACCTTTGTCCACTGGTGGTGCCAGGGCACAGGCTAGAGTAATGTCTTCAACACATGTGCTGTAGAGAATGCTGCCTTCATGAAAAACGCAAGAACCATCGCCTGGCACAATTGGAGGGTGCTCAACCTTAAGAATCAAGCCCCTTGCATCAAGGGCTTCACTACAAGTAGCAGTTTCTTCAAGGGTTGTCCCTGCTGAATGAAATAAAAAAATCCAATGCATGATTTGAGCAAGGCAATACATCTATCACTACAGTACAAAATCTCAGCCACAGTATTTTGCATGCATATATGGGGGCCCCCAGTAGGATTCAGATGACCATATCAGGTCTCCCCTATTTAACGCTGCTTTTCCAGCAAGTCTCCAAGCCAGTTTTTGAACAGCTTATCAGTTAACAATCCCTAAACTATTTCACAGGTTGGCCCCATGGGGGCTTACACTTACAGAAATGTACAAGAAAGCAACATTGATATTATAATTTTAAAAAATATTTTACAAAGCCTAATTTGTTTACAGAAGCCACAAGCAAGAAAACAATAAAAGCCTTTTACTAGTAGTGTGCTAAGAAGGAAAAGTGAAGTTCCTTGGACCAAAGTCTGCAGTTTTAACATATAATGCTGGTCTTTTTGCCTGAAAGCAATCTGGGATACATTTGCAGCCAGTGCAAGATGTTCAGTTGAATTGGGAGGAGCAAAGCAGCAAATGGACACACTTCAGAAACTGAAAAAGGGCCCTGGATTTTTCTATTCAAAGGAAGAGAAATTGACAATGGCAGTGACTCTCCAATAACAGGAACCAGAAATATGAGACATAGAAGATAATCTGCACCACTGGAACAATTTCAGACTCTTGTAGATAAAACAAGTTCTGAACATTTAGGGGAAGAGAAGCAGACATGATGATGGGAACAAAAATCCTGAAGTCACAATCTCACCATAGAAAGCTGAAATGAATCCTCTTAACATGCTGAATGAAAAACCAGACAGAACACTGGTTTTATATTAAGTTATGGTATACACTTATGTTCAGTATGAGAAAAAAAAAAACAAAAAGAGCTTGAACCCTGTGGTAAATATGATTTAATGGGTATAATGCAGACAAGCTGGAATGTTACCCATGACTGATAGATAGTAATTGAAGGACACCATTTAGTGGTGTCCAGACAGATGCATTGCATATTGAAAATGTACGTTCTTCCTTGGAAATCCAAGTGAATAAACTTGGCAATGCGATAGAATCTGACTTAAGAGGAAGAACAAATAAAAGCAGCACCAACATTAGGATCTGGTATCACCCACCCAACTAAGGAGATGTGGATTATAACAGGCAAATGTAGATTCTTGAAAAAGTCTTAATGATGCAGTTTTAAATAGTCTGACATCTGCTGGGACACAAACTCTGCCAAGCATGATCCTTCCAGGAAATTCCTCACTTGTCTTGCAGACAAAACTCATAGAATTATTTCAGGACCCCAAATAGAAGCATTCCTAACAAATGGTTCTCAAGCCTTTGTTTGAAGGTATCCAATGAAGGGGAGCCCATCATTTCTCTATGTCCTTGGTTCCACTGTCAAATTGTTCTTGCATTAGGAAGCTCTTTCTCACTTTCACTTGGAAATTGCCTTCCTGTAACTCAAATCCATTATTTTGTCCTGCATTTTAGAATTGATGGAAATGGGTTTTCATCTTCTCCTGCATCCTTTCAGGAACATGAGGACTACATGAGGACTCTCCCTTCAGTAATATTTTCTGAGACTTAAACATACCCAGCTCCTTCCGTCTCAATCATCCTCACTGCCCGTCTCTGAACATGTTCCTCAAACCTTCTTAAAAGTGTGGTGCCCAGAACTGGACACAATATTTGAGGTGGGGGTCTGACCAGAGCAGAACAAAGTGGAACAATTAATTCCTGTAATTTGGAAATTCTAGATTAAAGTCCATTTGCCTTTTTGGAAGCCATATCACACTACCAGCTCTTGCTCAGCTGGCGATCATCTACTATTCCAAGATCTTTTTCACAGCTACTATTACTAAATCAGATCATACCTTCCACCTGTACCTGCGTATTTGATTTTTGTTTCCTAAGTGAAGAACTTTGCACTTGTTTCTATTAAATTTCATTGTTTTACTTGTAGCTCATTTCTCTTAACTTAGCTAGTGTAAGGTTTACCCCGTTCGTCTCAGAGAAACTCTCGTGACACGTGTGTTCAGCAAAGAAGTTTACATAAGCGTAACGTAAGTAAGTACAGACGAAGCCAGGGTTGGCTTGGCATAGCTTACATGGCATTTTATAGCTTCC